ACACCCACACCCACATCCACACCCACACCAACACCCCACACCCACACCCGAGTCACAACCCGTGGAAGGCACATCCCTGTATGAAAAGATTTTTGTTTATTCGAGTTGATTTTTTGATATTATTTGGAGACAATAAATGACTTTTTTTGATGGCGGTTAAACTCTTAATCAAATGAATTTTTCTAACAATCATTTTCAATCTTTGTTTTCATAGCAGAATATAATTCAGGTCATTATATATGTCCGACAGTGAAATAAGTCTTTGTTTCCATAATTCATATAAAGAATGAATATATCAATAAGATTTCATTAGATATAAATAGAAAATAATAGATAGAAAAACATTATTCATATCGTTTTAAGTAGTTAAACACTGGAAATAAGAATGAGTAAAGATAAAAAACGTCTTGTTAACGATATTGGTAAGTATTATATCGCTTATTTTCCCATTTGACACAATCTTTTGTCATTTTGTTAGAATTTGATTCATCATCAATGAAACGACTTCGTCATAATATAACTTGTTTAACTGATTTACCAGATGAAATTTTTCTTCTAATATGTCTTTATTTGACACCAGTTTGTGTTCTTTATTCATTTTATACACCTGAAAAGGCTGATTTTCGTCTTCATCGTATTATATTTGATTATTATACAAAAATAAAATTTGAAGGACAAACAAATGATGAATTCAATTATTTGTTAAATTTATTGTGTAGTGATAAAAGACCTCTTCGACCTGAATCATTGACATTAAGTAATGAATATATTGCTAATTTAACATGCCGCTATTTTCATAATATCGATACAAATCTAAACAATTCAATCTTTGTCAATTTGAAATCTTTAATATTAGTCGATTGTTCATCAAATGATCTTGATATAATTGCTAAATATTACTTTGATACAATTCAAATTGAATATCTTAATATAATTGTTCGAAAGAATGATGATCATATACGTAAGTAAGATAGAGAAATTTATTGATAAAAGTTTAGTTTTGATTTATTAATTTTCGTTTTATTCAATAAACTTTTGTATTTATTATAATTGATTTGAATGAATACAGTCCATGAAAATTGAAATTATACCCTTTGAGTTTTTGTGTTTTCATTGCCATAACTTGTTTGTTTTTAAACTTATTATATATAGGAAGAATGCCTCGAAGACGCTGCATCTAATGGTGTATTTATGTTAAACAATTGATGCAGTTTGAGGTATGAAAAGGGTGTTTGAAAATATAGTAACATTTCTAGTTTTTTTACGATACATTCACATTTATTATTTATTTCAGAAATCAAGAAGAGTAAAAATTTTTCGAATAACTTTCGATAGAAACAAGATAGAGACCTGCGATTTTCACTATTTGAAAGAGGAGATGAAGCTGCATCGGATTTCATATTTCAGATATTCCTGATAACTTTTTACCTGGGGCTATAGTCAAGTCCTTTACGATGTCGACGCTTCTAGAGAGGAAAAATGGGATTTTCCACAAAGAATATGGAAAAAAATCAATTTTTCAAAAGACTTAGCTAAAGTCCCTCGACAAAAGTTATCAGAAATATCTGATATATGAAATTCGATGCAGCTTCATCTCCTCTTTCAAATGGTGAAAACCGCAGGTCTCTATCTTGTTTCTATCGAAAGTTATTCGAAAAATTTTTACTCTTCTTGATTTCTGAAATAAATGATCAATGTGAATGTATCGTGGAAAAACAAAAAATGTTACTATATTTTCAAACACCCTTTTCATACCTCAAACTGCATCAATTGTTTAACATAAATATACCATTAGATGTAGCATCTTCGGGGTTTTCTTCCTATATATAATAAGTTTAAAAACAAACAAGTTATGGCAATGAAAACACAAAAACTCAAAGGGTATAATTTCAATTTTCGTGGACTGTAAATTAATTTTATGCTTTAGAGTTCCGTATGAGAGAAAGATATGATGCAGCAATCCATCAATTCTTATTCAGCAAACGAATTTGTTCTTTACACAAAATTATTATTGATATACCTGATGGACTTGTATTACACAATCCATTAGTAGCTAATCAATATCTTCAAAATGTTGATTTAGTCTTAGAAACTATCGATGATTTATATTTATTACTTGGTGGACTTTTACCGAATATAGAAAAAATGTTTATTCAATTACGTCGATCACGAATACTCTGTAAGTATTTAATACAAAAGATGTCAATGCATGTCTCATCTATTCAAACTTTCGACTTGAGTTATTTCGATCAAAAAAAGTCTGTTTTGGTAAAAAAAATTCCAATGACAATATTATAATAATGGATTTCTGAGAACAGCTGATCGACTTTTTCTTACGAAATATCTTTTGGATTTTTGATATAAGAAAAAGGCCAAAAGTGAAATGAGTAGATACTATCTCTAATAAAATTCATAATCCGTTTTTTTCACTCTGATTGATTCATTCTAAAGATCATCGAATGTCTCTTGCCCTGATAAATATTCCATATACTGGATCCAGGTTTGAAAGTTTTCGCCCGGACGAAGATAACCTTCCTTATCTTTCCTTTGGAAAAGTTTTCTCTTTCATCAAGATCCAATACCTTTTACTGGTTAATTATCTTTTCAAGTGCTAATCATTGAAACGAAATTCTAATCTTATTTCATAGCTTGTCTTCGTCCTCAAAATATGCCATCGTGTCCTCGATTAACTGAATTTACATTATTGGAACCTGGAATTGGATTTGTCATTGACGATATGAAATCTATTCTTGGTTATATGCCAAATTTAATTAAATTAACATTAAGTATTCGTGATACACTTGATCCAACATTTTGTCATGGTCCTAAATTTGAATCAGTATTAATGGGATATCTTTCAGATCTTCGTCAATTTGATTATACAATGACACATAGAATTGGTGAGAAAACTTTAATTGAAGATTTTATTATATGGACAATGAATTCTGTTTCTTATGATGATGAAAATTCTCATTGGATACATATTTATTCATTTCCATGGCCATCAAGTAAAGATGATAAACGAGAATTACCTTTCCTAAAAGATGGATATAATTTATCAGTTACATCACAAGCTGAACAAGATCAATATATGAAACATGTTATAATTATAGAAGCTAATCAATTTGTTAAATTGAAGAGACATTTTCCTCGTGCTTGTCAAATAACAACTTGTTTATCAATTGACATTGAATTACCATTAAGAATTTCTAAAGTCATTCTTACAAAAGAAATTCGTAAGAAAATTTTATTAAATAAAATCTATTTAAAAAAAAGGTAGTTGATTAATCTGTTTCAGCTATTAGTTCAATATATTCAATTGTTCAAACTACTGTTCGTCATCTAATTGTTGAACGTCGTTTAAATGATGAAAGAGAAATTTGTCTTCTTGCTCGTCAATTTCCAAATGTTGAATATTTAAAATTATTATTTCCATTAGAAAAATCTGCATGTATCCGTTGTTTTCAAACATTATTTTCTGTTAATGAAACTATTTATGGAAATCGTTGTCTTTGGCATAAATTAATTAACTTTTCAACTGGATTCTTTCACGACGAATTAAATCTAATTTTCGATGATTATAATATTCATCGTTGGTTTATTCGATATACTGGCTTAAAATTTGTTAAATTTTATTATCTTAATGTTGTTAATTCGATCTTATCTATATGGTTTTGATATTTTCACTTTATTGAAAAAAGAAACTTTTTCAATTTGTTATATTAAAGTTAACAGAAAGATTAGATATATTTACATGAATAGGAAATATCTTTTATTTTTCAATGTAATAAAAGAGAAATGGATTCTTTTTTATCATAAATGTATGCTCCATGAGTTAAATCTAATCTTGACAATTTCGAAGATACTATACATATCTAATTTCAATTCTCTCTTCATCAAATCAAGACCAATCATAAAAATAATTATGGAAAAAGCTTTGATCGATATACTACTTAGGGCATACCAAAAGTTTGTAGAGTGATACCTTAATACCTTATGATAAGCTTTAAGTAACTTTCTTTCTATATAGTCTGATAGAGAAAAAAATGCTCTATCTTTCTATGCTATTTGATCATACTTCAACTATTATCGCCGCCAAAATGCGGTGCACTCGGATGTTTTTTTAATATCTCGAGAACGCAAGGAGCTAGCGACCTGCGATTTTCAGCATTCGAAAGAGAAATGTGGGGAGAAGTATACGGATACTAAATTCGTCGAGGTCGAAAGTTTTTAATGGGTGTCTGGAAACCTGGACATAAGTCGGACTTTCGCGTTCAAACATTTTCCATTGGATTTTGGATTCTAATACGTCTATTCGATAAAGAAAATTGTCCTCTTTCGATCTACGCAAACCCGAACTCGATAGGTGGTTCCGTTCAGTAGCTATAAGGGTTTTCCAGAGACCTCCGATTTCGACCTATTGACCTTGGATCACCCAGAAACAGGTCAAGACAGGGGTAATTCACCACGCTGAGTCCAATGGTGATGTTTGTTTTCAGTTTCAGAGCGACCTAAAACCACTATATTGAGAGTTTTGAAATATCGACTTTCCACGCTGGGTAGCAGCAAAATTTGAAATTTCGAAAATCTCAATATAGTGGTTTTAGGTCGCTCTGAAACTGAAAACAAACATCACCATTGGACTCAGCGTGGTGAATTACCCCTGTCTTGACCTGTTTCTGGGTGATCCAAGGTCAATAGGTCGAAATCGGAGGTCTCTGGAAAACCCTTATAGCTACTGAACGGAACCACCTATCGAGTTTGGATTTGTGTAGATCGAAAGAGGACAATTTTCTTTATCGAATAGACGTATTAGAATCCAAAATCCAATGGAAAATGTTTGAACGCGAAAGTCCGACTTATGTCCAGGTTTCCAGACACCCATTAAAAACTTTCGACCTCGATGAATTTGGTATCCGTATACTTCTCCCTACATTTTTTTTTCGAATGCTGGAAACCGCAGGTCGCTAGCTCCTTGCGTTCTCGAGATATTAAAAAAAAACATCCGAGTGCACCGTATTTTGGCGGCGATAATAGAACAGATTCACGTTATATATTTAGAGATTGTGATGTGGGTCTTTGCGCGGTCGGTTGCTTCGAAGAATTTCATACCTTGGTAAATTTTTAGTTTTTCTTTTTCTTCTCGTGTGTTTTTTTTTCCTTTCAAAATAAATAAACTAGTTGCATCTTTTAAATGATGAAGATGAAAATTGTCTATCAACATACCCAACATGAGATGATGAAGATTTTGAAATAATTGATTAAGAAAATTTTGTTTTTAATCGTATTCATTTGATCAATCGTTTGAGAAACATTTCAAATTTATAAATTATAAAAAGAATTAAAAGAACATTTATTTATATATTGATGTTCAAAAACTAAAACAATCTGTCGAGTACAGAGTGTGAGAACATTATTTCTTGAATTGATGAAAATAATTAAATCAAAACTAAAAAAAAGAATATTTAACAAATAAAATTTCACAGAAAAAAATGTTCTTTAATTGATAAATAAGATCTTTTAAATTTAATAAAAGGAAAAAAAAAGAAATTAATTATTATTGATTTGTTCTTGAAGTTGTTTAGCTGAACAATCAGTTGTACAATTATCTTTAATAATCGAATTAAATTTCGAATAATCAACCGTATAATAAAGATTATCAAAATGAATCATTCTTTCAAATCTTGCTCCCCAAATTATTTCTTCAGGTAGATAAGAAGTTTTAGCTTGTGTAACCATTCCAGTTGTTTCAATAATTCCTTCAAGAACAAGTAAAATTTCAAACTTTTCCTTATAAATCATCCTTTTATCCATTGTATATAATGGACTTCGTCTATCAATTTTATGTTCAATAATAAGTGGCCAATTAAGAAATAATCTATCTTTTCCAGCATCAAAACCTACATCCATATCAGTTAATTGAAGTGGAATTATTTCATTTTCTTTTGTTTGATGTTTTGAAACATAATACATTCTTATATGAGCTTCAACTAATGTTGATTTATAACGCATATCACCTAATCGACATTGTAATGTTAAATGTTCATCACGAAGTGAAATAACAGCGTGTCGTGACCAGATTAATGTTCGACAACGTTTTTGTGGACGAGCTAATTTTGTATAAACAAGACCAACCCATAAAGCTTGAATTAGAAGACCAAAACAACTTTGAATTATTAGAACAATAAGTCCAGCTGTACATGTTTCATTTACTGCTCGAGTTCCATAACCAATTGTTTGTTGAGTTTCTATTGAATAAAGAAGTGCACCACTAAATGTTTTAATACCAGCAACACAAGGAATATAATTATCATCAGTTTTATCAGAAAAATCACCATGAATAATCATTATTATATACCAAATAACAGCAAATAAAATCCATGATGTTACAAAACAAAAAACAAATAAAAATAATATCCATACCCATGACAAATCTAATAATGATGTAAAAATATCTTTTAAATAACGACTACGTTCTTCAATATGTAATCTATATTGAACATTTTATTTTATTTTATCTTATATAAATAAATATTTACCTTCGAAAATTAATATTTCCTTCTTTTGTTATAAGCCGTTGTCGATTCCATCCTATACCTACATATTACATTTACATAAAAACAAAAACGAAAGAAAATATTTTCAAAAATTACTTGTATGTCGTTTTATATTAATTCTAAATTAAAATAAATCAAAATTTATTTAAATAAATAAACAAATAAATACTAACGAATTAATTGATGAATTAGTTTCAGATATTGTACGATTTAATTTATCATAATCGACAGACGTATTTTCAACCATTTCGAATCAAATAATGCTTGTTCGGTATTTTTACCTTTACGTGATGTGTGTCTCTTGTAGTAGATATACTCTCCATTTATTATTTTAAATACGTATTTTTTTCTCTCATGTCACATGGCAAATACATCACCTAACCGCTCTTTTAGTATTAAACATATTTTGTTAGACACTTACAAATAATACGAGCATATTGTATTGCTGAATATAATTATTTGCGTATATCGAATTTATTCATGCAGAATATAAACATACTTTTTTGCTTACGAAAAATATTATTACCCAGGCAGACAAAAAAATGAAAAAACGAGTTTAAACGCGCAGAGATTTTCGACCGTGTCTGGCTGCCAATCGAGGTTCCCGATTGTGTGTCACTAACGACCAGTATAAGTGGACGTGAAAACGGTTTCTTTTTCATGCTCCATGAAATTTGCATATTTTCATTGCATTAACATAATATCATTTTCACGTTTACTATTCCCTACCGTGTTTGACTGCCAGTCGGGAACCTCGATTGACAATCGATCACGGTCAGTAATAAATGTGGAAACTTCGGATTTAAATCCGAGAGTTATGTGTACTTCAAAAACTGAATGAGACAGATGAGTCATCTTAGAATGTGTGGACATAAAAATTATCCTAGCAAACCTTACCTATAAACACTTGATTTCTATTGGCTACTGCTCAACCAATAGGATTTGGGGATGAATACAGCTCAGATTTGAACTTTTCATCTTGATTTACCCTAAGAAACTAGTTTTTTCTATAACTTGATTTCTATTGGTTACTGCTCAACCAATGAGATTTCGAGGCGAATGGAACACAGATGGGTGTGGGTGTGGGTGGGTGTGGATGTGGGTGTGGGTGTGGGTGTGTGGGTGTGGGTGTGGGTGTGGGTGTGGGTGCGTGAGTGTGTAGGTGTGGGTGTGGGTGTGGGTGTGTGGGGGGGGGGGGGGGGGGGGGGGGGGGGGGGGGGTGGGGGTGTGGGTGTGGGTGGGTGTGAAAGAGTTAAGCTAAAATCCACACCCACACCCACACCCACCCACACACACCCACACCCACACCCACACCCACACCACACACCCACCCACACCCATACCCACACTCACCCACACCCCACACCCACCGACACCCACACCCACACCCACACCCTTTTTACTTATTGTTGCCATCTTTTCCCATGTTTGGAAAAAAACTAAGTGGATTCCAAGGAACAATAAAAGTTTTAGTTTCTTCAGGTAAATTTTCGATAGTAATTTTTATTTGTGTTGGCTCAGAAAGTTCTCCGATAGCCTGCTCAATTTCTATGATATCGACATGGTTTGGTGGCATTATCTTTTGTCTTATACCTAGTGCTTTTTTAAAATGTTCCATTGCTTTTCCATAATTATATAACCTTTTATAGGTCAGTGCAACACTATACTGTGGGTGTGGGGTACGGATTTAGAAGAATCAAAGATCAAAAATCAACAACCAACACGCCTGCACCCACACTCCACACCCAGACCCAGACCCACACCCACCTACTCACACCCAGACACACATTCATCCACACCCATCGATCCACACTCATACCCGCGCCCCACATCCAGACCCATCCACACTCGCACCCACACCCTGATGGCCTCGTATTCGTTTATAGAAATAAGAAAGGAAAACAGAGAAGCAGCATTATTGGTAAGACATTGGGAGAGATAGAGAAAGAGAGGAAAAATATAACTGTCGTTCAAGATCATTGCGAAATGTAACGACAAAAGTTTTTTCGTTCTTGATTTTATTCTAATAACGTTTAATTTTAATCGGAAACTTCATATTTAAGAGAGCTACACCAACACGAGTACAACATGTGTTCTGAAATAGAATATAACTTCGCGGAA